AATATTTGCGGAATTTTTTTCGGCCTTCTAACGGTATGTAACCCCTTAAAATCCTATCACCATACTAACAGCAATAATTTCGCGTAGTTAGCAAAAAACTATTGTCAGTTAAAACTTGAAAAATTATATCGCTCATTTTCCTTTCAGTAAAAACAATACCCAGAGCAGAACAACAGAGTTTTTCTCAATTTAAAAATTTCATTTATTTCGTACTTACAATATTTTACAATACAGCTTTTACAATTACACGTGTTCCCGCTAAATATTTTAAGATTCTCGTCTGACATTTGCTTTACGTATAACTATTGAGTCCTTGCTGCTATTAACTTTTTATACAGTTATACTTATATATGTATATGTGTTCTTATATATGCGTGTGTATTTATGTACTCTATGTACCTCTGTAGGTTTCCTGTTTTGACTATCTGTGGATTAATTATATTTTGCACATACATATATCTTTAAAGCTAATACTTACTTTCTAGCGCTGCATTATCGGGAAAAACTTTTTTTTTTTTAATTTTGTGTTCCGACTTTTTTAATTGTTAAAATTTGTTTGATAAAAAATTATCATACTTACAGCTAATTATTTAAGTATTTACAAAAGAGTGCAACGATCCTCATAACCTATAAATGGACTCATAATGGCATTGCTGTCGTTATAACTGACGTATGCCCGCATATTGCAATAAATGTAGGAAATAATTTATTTTAATGTTTATTGATTTATTACTACCGTTTGTCGGTTTACTTTTACTTTAAATTTTTTTTTTTTTAGTTTGTAGACCAAAAGTTGAGAAAAATAATAATAAGTTAAATGAAAGCAAAAATAGCCGAACTTCATGACATGTAAGGTATCAAGTAATATTAAAAATATAAGAAATAAGATTAAATCGTCACTTTAAATGCAAAAGAACGTATCATCAAAATAACCGAAATTGAGTTTTTTATTGATTAGGATCCACAATTAAAATATATTACATACATACATATATCTACTAAACTTTCAGTTTCTGCCATCATATACATGTAACCAATTTATAAACAGATGTGATTTTTTTTTTTTTTTTTTCATTATAAGGCTTTCTTTTTTATATCGTTCTTTTCTTCTTCTGAAAACTTATGAAAAGTGAGGTTACGTTGTTTTACATTTTAGATGACGGTGTGTACATAAGTATAACGAATAACATATGGAGTCAAAGATCCATTTCTGTTCAGGCGCTTCTATTATCTATCTACTAATTCAAACACCGGTTAACTCAAGAAAGTACGAATATGTCCACGTTCCATCGAAGGCATAATACCTTTCGCAGGTGCACTTTTTATAGCATAAAAGCTAATATCCTTCACATGTGCATTTCTTATAAAATAAAAGTTTAAAGGAACTGTTGCTTAATTTTGATTAATCGTTCGTATGGCAACAATATGCTATAATGGACCGAGCTGCACTTCTTGTACGCAGAATGAACCGTTGACCCTCATAGTAAACCACATCAAATTTCGTGCATATATTTCGTCAAATATAAAAGTTTTCCACACAAGGCCTTGACTTTGATCGTTCAGTTTGTACGGCAGCTACAGTGGTCCGATTTTGTCTGTTCTATGCGAAATTTCGGAAAGTTGGCAGAGGGACTACCATAGTGCGCGTGTATACAGGCAGGCGAATAGACCGACTTGACTAAAACAAATCAACTCATTAAGCTTGGCAAAACTTGAATACCATAATGACATTTTTAAGGAAATGGTCGTTACCAATGAGGCTCACTTTCATGTGGGTGCTCTGGTAAATAAACAAAACTGTAGATTCTGGTGTGAAGAAGGTACACAAATTAGAAAACCCATTGCATTCACCTAACTTGACAGTTTAGTGTGGTTTTAGCCTGGTGTAATCACCTTCTTTCGGAATGAAACTGGTGACAGTTACTGTCCACGGAGAGCGGTATAGATCGATGATAACCAACTTTTTAAGGCCGCAATTGGAGGAAGTTGATCTTGACAACTTCTGGTTCCAACACAAATTGTGAAATTGAATGTTCTCCAAGAAATTGGAATTTAACACCATTAAACTACTTCTTGGGTGTAGAATCTCTTTAAGTTTTAGAAGTCAATATTGAACGTGCTATTCATGCCATACGACTTAATTTAATCGAAAAAGTACTCGAAAGTTAGGTTTATCAAATTCGTTCCCACAAAAGAAGTCGTGGCAGTTATTTGAATGATGTTATATTGAGAACTTAATTGAATCGAATATATTTTATATTAAATGAAAAACATTTGAATTTCTTTAACAAATGGTATGTGTTTTGATCTATTTTATAGAGCACTCGTTCACGTTTTCTTCCAGGCGTTACAAGCTTCGTGGGAAACTTAATGTATAGTATCTTATTCTGCTCATAAAAATAAAACAAACAAGGTCGTAAAGCACGAGCAATGACAAATGTTATCAGTCAAAATTGAAACTCAGACAGTGACTGTGCGTTGGATTTATTTTATAAACAGAATTCTTATTTGTTCAATGTTTACAAGTTAGTAATATATGTAATGTCCTCAAGTAATTAAATCTCTTTTTCTCAAAAATTTAACAGGGAGTTATATACAGTTAGAATATTCCAAAAGTCGTTTTTTTTTATTTCGGTGAATATTTTCGAAGTTACACGCAAATTTGAAAAAGAGCTTCAGAGCGTTTGGAAGTAAAAGGTCAAACTCAAAATTGTGTTTTCAAAGTCGGTGACCAACATCACTCGAAAAAGACTAAAACGATTAGTCTCAAACTTTAACACGAGCTTCTTAAATATATTTTTTTTGTACTTCATCGAATATTTTTTCTCACCAATAAACGTTTTTTTAAACAATTAAAACAAATAGATTTTTTTTTTTTTTTTTTTTTTGAGAATTTGCCATTTTGTCAAGAAATTGTATTTCGCTTGTTGCTCCGATTAATTACTGGATTTAACATTACTTTAACGAAATCTTTGGTTTTTTAATTTCAGAGGATCACGTTCAGAGTTATAGTGGTCGCCGCAAAACGTCTTTTTTGAGTGGAGCTCCCGGGGATCAGATGTAGTTCCTTTCCAAATAAATAGTTTTACTGATATTAAGTCTTAAAATACAGTTAAAATATTACTAATATTTTCACAAATTTTTGAATCAATAAATTTCAAAGTTTTCTCAGAAAAAATTCTGGAAAATTCAATTTTTTCAGCCTTCTAACTGTATATAATCCCTTAAGGACGAGTGAAGAGCCATTACAAATTCTTTCTTTTTCCAGTTATGTTGCATTTTATTTTATTTCGGCCACCTATATGCATTATGCCATTCTAAGGCCGGGTAGCGCAAGAAAAGAAAATTATATATTCCAAAAATATGTTCACTTATGTATATACACTTTGATGACAAAAATTTAATTTCAAAACTAATTTAGAAATGCAATTTGTTTAAAATAAATTTAGAAAATAAGTATTTAACCCTGACTGCGACTCCATTTACACGCCGAAAATAAAGAAATACCAGCTTTTGTTTCAAATTATTCAAAGAAATTTTATTTTACTGCTATATGTATATTATTTACACACGACTTACTTGCACTTATGCGACAGCTAACTTAATAGTAATCTTATATACAATAACAATATTGACTTCCCACTTAAAATAAATATTTTTGAACAGATCGTATATGTTGATATCTATAAAATAATATGACTAAGTTTTATTTCGTGTTTTATACTTAACACCAGCATTTAACTGTAAAAAAGCAAGCACAAAGGAATTAGACATTTCATTTATCACAAATAAATGTTTTGTTGTTTTTTTTTTTTAGAGTAGCATTTGGCGCAAAACTTACGAAAGGTTTAATTTATACATATAATATTATATAACAACAAATGCTGGGGCTCGAAAGAAAACTATTTATATTATATTTGAATAAAATGCAATAGGCATGTAAATTTATATTAAATAGCTGCAAATTCGTACTACACACATACATAGCTACATATGTACATTATAGTAAACTAGAATTTTGATTTTTTATTTGTGATAAGCGACAGCGTTCCTCGTTTTTTTTTTACTCTAACTTTTGGTCTACAATGTTTTTACATACAACCGTTGTCTATACTCAAAGTGTCGTTCAGTGTGAGCGTAATTATAAAAACTCTTTAGCAAAATCTTTAACGTCAAACAATGCATTGAAGAATACGTAAAAGGTTTACCTTCGCAAAATCGTAAAATGCAACTGCACAGAAAATGGACGCTGCGACCAACCTCGGTGAGGCCCGGTGTCCATCGCGCAGAGTTGTCTCTACTTTGGTGCTTTGGCGCTTTGCGACACTTACCGCTCAACAAGTTGGGCGCTACGTATTTTACATTTTGTATTTATTTTGATTTTCATATTTACTAATTTAATGATTGTATCAAACACTGTTTGCATGCAGGAGGTTTTCAAGTTTTGGCCGCTTTTTAAAACAGGTGGTAAAATTAAACGCAGCTCAGTTGCTGTTGGTGTGCTTTTAATGCCAGGCAATGCTTATACGTATTTTAAATAATGCATATTTGTTTGTATGTTTTCATAACTTACGGCTGCTCGGTTGCTCACGTTTGCACTGTTTTGCTGATTTTCTGTTTTTTAAGAAATTTACAGTGAAGTTGTTGTACATGTATAAAATTATAAACTATTGAATTCGTTAATTACATTTAATTTAGTTGATTACTACCTTTGCGATTACACATTTTTTTTTTTTTTATAAAATACGCAAAACTCTATTTATTTTGTTTTTCTTAAAAACATCACTTAGTTTCTCGTTTGATTTTAATTGCATTATTATTTGCAAGTTTTAGAAACTTTCAAAGTTTTAAATTTTTTTGAATTCTATTTTACATTTGATTTTAAGACTTTGCTGCTAATTATTTTATAGGGGAGCTTAAGTAGACTGTTAATTATATTTCTTTTACTTTGTATTTGTTGTATTTCAGTGAAAAATTTTTACTACTAAACCGTACTTTTCTTTTGTATTTGCTTATTTTTTAATTTGTTTTATTTATTTTATAATGTTGTTCATTATTCATTTACTTAGTTTACTTAACTAATTTCAAGTTAACACAGATTAATGCACTGGTATAGCTCTGGCAAATGGCATACAACCGTCCACTTACTTAATAAGTCTACCTAACAATATCCCACTATAACTAAAGCGGTTCAATATTAAACCGCGCTTCAAGTGGTACTGTGACTCGGTCGTTGGTCCTTCGTTCCCTGCACATATACATGTATATATATACCGTATATACCGTATACGGATATACACGTCTAGTTATACACCAAATAAAATAGTTGAATTATGCACCGCAGCTGGTATACCCTTTCAATTAGCCCGGTTCGGCACACGCCGCAGCTTAAAAGCGCACCGCCTCTAGCTTGGATTCTTCCGATGTCTTATGCTTGCGCGCTTAAGACGACTCATATCCAAACCAGGCGGCTGACGCTGCCGCTGCGGCGGACGTATGCTATTCGCCACCGCCGCCAAATGAATTGAAGTGTCTCACGCCTGGTGCGGCGGCACCGAATTGCAGACTCCATTCGAATAGGCGTCGGGCATGCAGTTGTTGTTGCTGCTGTTGGTGATGATGTTGCTGTTGGTGGTGATGGTGATGCTGGTGCAGTGAGTGTGGATTTAAATTAAGGTGATGCATGCCGGTCGCGCTGCTCACACCCAACACCGAGGAAGCCGAGGATGGCGATGAGGATGGCGCTTGCAGGGCGCCGCTGCTGCTGCCGGCGCCGGGCGATGTCTGTGGCTGTTGCAGATTGTGGTGATGAGCGGTTGGATGTTGCAGCGCTGGGTGTTGCTGGTCGCTGGTGTGGAAGAGGTGTGGGTGGTGCGCGGGATTGAGGTGCGGGTGTTGGTGTGGATGGTGATGTTGGTAGCGCATCGGATCGATGTACATAGCGGCGGCTGCAGCTGCCGCTATCGATGACGCTTGTTGTTGCTGCTGCTGTTTCACCTGACTCAAGTGATCACTTTCATTGTTGTTGTTATGCGTATTGTTATTGTTGTTATTATTAGCAGTTAATCCAGCACCGATCGGTGATTGCGGCGACAGCACGTTGGTTGTCATTGTCGCCGAGGAGCCACCCGAAGAGGACGGCGTGTTCGGCGCATGTTGGTTATGTGGTTGGTGTTGTTGCTGTTGTTGTTGCTGCTGATGCAGCGATGCAGGAGTGGACGCAGCTGCAGCTGAGTTCGACTCCTGGATTTCTGATTGCTAGTGAGCCGCCAACTGATGACCGGTCGCGGACTGCATATTTTGTGGGCTAAGCATGGGCGGGCTGTGACTGTGACTGTGTGTACCCATTGGACTTCCATGCATATCGTGATGTGGATGGTAGCCGCCATGTGGGTGCATATGGCCTGGTGGCATACCGTCCATCATATCGCCACCCATTGTATTTGGTGGTGTCATACGCTTCTCCTTCTGCCTCCTATTACAAAACCACACTCGCACAACCTCTTTTTCCAATTGTAAAGAATCTGCCAGCGATGTGATCTCTTGAGCCGATGGTTTTGGTTGTTTATGAAAATGTTGTTCGAGTGCACCTTTAACGCTCACTTCGATGCTGGTTCGTTTCTTACGCTTACGACCCTGTGCCGCAATTTTGTCAATGCTTGTTGGTGATCCAGTGGTGGAGTCAGCTTCCTCTAGCCATTTTTGTAGTAGTGGTTTTAATTTGCACATGTTCTTAAAACTTAATTGTAAAGCCTCAAAGCGGCATATTGTTGTCTGTGAGAAGACATTGCCATATAAGGTGCCAAGCGCCAGTCCCACATCCGCTTGTGTAAAACCGAGCTTTATACGACGTTGTTTGAACTGTTTCGCAAATGCTTCCAAATCATCTGAGGTGGGCGTATCTTCTTCACCACCCGACACATCACGATCGCCCTGCAGATGATGGGGATGTATATGAAGTTGTGGAGACTCACCACGCAGTGCGTGATGTAAAGGTGGCACTCCTTGATGATGCGCTGGATGAGCAGGATGATGCAACATTCCGTTCATCGCATGATGATATTGCAAAGGCGAACCACCCGTCGGAACATAGTGTGTTGTATGAACCGGTGCGTGCCATGTATGTGGGGATGCCATGCCTTGTTGAACGCGTGACTGCTGTGATAAATGGGACATTTCTTGCTTTACCGCGTCCGCGGGATGATGGTGTGTATGATGTGTCATCGACGCCCATGGATCTGAGGGATGCAAAGGGGTCCAATGATTTGATCCCAAACTACCAGAGGGTGTGATCGAACTAAGCCCACTCGCTGACACACCTAGACCGCCAGTACCACCTGCTCCCGCACCACCCGCTCCACCCACAACTGCATTCGGGCTAGGCGATGAGGGTAGCTGATGATGGGCGGCAGCAGCGGCGGCGTGATGATGATGATGTTGCATGTATTTCATTTCGCCCGCATCGGCGGCCGATCGAGGCGATGAAGTATGATAACCCCCACCACCTAGCGCCATATCTAGATCACCGCTAGACGGTGTCATATATGAGGTGGCGGCCATCCCCACCGCTCTAGGGCTGTTCAGGCCCTCCACGCTGGCGGGGTAGGGCTCCAAGTTGGGGCTCAGTTTAACGACCTTGAATACCGATCTGTCAAAAGGAAGACCAGTGTCCCTATGCTCATTCCACTCGAACCGTGAGGCAACCGTCTTGAAGTCTTTTCGTTCAACGTACACAGGGGAGAATTCGATGACGACGATGTATTAAGAGCAGCGCGCACTGGCTGCTCGACGCAACAATGAGTAGAAATTTGTTTGAAATCACTGGGTGCGTATGCCACTATAAACGCACTGGCTACTGCTTCTACGCCGATTTTATTGAAGCCTTAATCAACAAGTTGTGTAACACTAAAAATTCGATTTGCCGCCGGCTACTATAGCTTATACGAATTAAGCACAGGCGTTTTTTGGTTTGCAAAAACTTAATTGACTAGTAAGCGACTATCGAGGCTTAGTTATGGCTCATACATGCGCACTCAACTGTATGTACGTTGCGACAAGTTTTGAGTTGTATTCATTACATCAACAATCTTGCATTTTTTTCACAATTTCTTTTTTGTCATTTGATACACTCCCGCACCTTTTATTTATTATTTTAACTTGTTGTCAAAATAATTGCCTTGTTTTCGTTTTATTTATTAGAATTCTTTATAATTTTGCCAAATACAGGAGATGATTTTTTTTGCTTCCAGATACACTTTTCACTGGCAGCTTTCTGTCGCTTTGCGAGCGAGATTAGTCAACCGCACTTTATCAAAACAACCGTAATGTATGATGAGCACGAAGATAATATAGTATCTCTAAGGTTGCTTTTGGATTTCCATTTATACATGAATCAGAACACGCATTCTCATTTGAAAAATTCAGCAACTTGCTTAGTTAAACGATCCGCACAATAATTTCTTCTTACTTTGCTTATTCTATTTTGTACGCTTCAGACACGCGAAGACTGAAATTTTCTACGTGTAAACTCATAGAGCTATCGAAGTGAACTAACGTCATTCATCGGCGACAGAAGGTATCGGAGAGTAGCGTGCGGCAGCGAACGTCAGCGCCAAACAACCATACACAAGCACTCTATATACGCAGCATATAACACAGTACACAGTGCACAACGAATGGAAGAGGTAACACGAACAGTGAGTACCGAATATCAGAACGACAACGACAACGTCGACGGCTTCAGACAGCGTTAGCTCAGCCAAAGCCAAAGACAACGATGAAGGCGACAACAGTCAGCAAACCACCAGCGAAGTAAGCAGTCAAACGAAGCGCACAAAATGTAGTCGCAAAGAGCGAGTGAGTGCGCACACGAAGTAACGGCAGAGTAACATCGGTTTGTGTTACTGTCACCGGCCGTGACAAAGGTGCAGGCTTCCACCAATGCGAAGGTGCGAGTGGGTACGCGATAAAATGGCTGTTAATTATTTTCAAAAGAGTAAAGAATCGGAATATAGAGATGTACGTCTCACATGCCAACGGTTATAAGGGCCTGTGTTGAAACTCAAATAGAATGGCAGACAGACCGACTTAAGTTGTTGGTACAAAAACACTTAACATATGTTGCCACCCCTAGTGCGAGTGCGATGATATGATATTACAATGAAACCGCACGGAGACTAACCGTTAAGTGTGAATGAAACCCAATGATTTTTCCGTATTGAAGGAAAGAAAAGTAGTTGTTAAGAAACATATGTAGATACTGCTTCCAATGCTCAATCGCTTTTGTACTTAGTGATTGTGTATGGTAGAGAGTATTTATACCGCTAGGGCATTCAACAAAGAGAAACCGCAAAATCACCAGCAAATATAAGCGAGTTGGGTAAAAGAGTATTTGCCATTAGTGCTCATTCACCATTTTCGTTGGCACGTTAGACTGCGATAGCAGATACTTATGGGACAGTGCCAGCCCAACAATGATGTCGAAGCGATGTGTTTACTGCACGAAATTCCAATGGAACGCCTACAAGAAATTACATACCAGATTTCCAATTGTTTGCAACTACTCATTCCATTTAGTAAATGAAAGTGAACAGCGATTAGCATTCCTTTTTCATATCAGCTTGTTGATAAAGTTTAGACTTATTGACTCCCCTTTATTTCTACCGTATGCTAAAGTGTTTGATTCCATTTCATGGCGCTTTGCGCAGGAAATCGCGTAGTAATTCCAGAAATTCCATTCATGCTTTTGAATGCAACTTGCACTTCCGTCCTGCAAGAGTTCAAGCCAGCACATCCAGCTGGAACAGTCAGTAGTTGCGTTAACTTCATACGTGCGATTTCAAAACGGTGCGCGCGCCCCACAGCATGCTTTATCGTACATTTGAATACACGGCTCCAAAAACGCCTAAAACAACCGGTCGTGTTATATGATTATGAGGCGGGTGTTTGTGTTTGTTGCGACAATCGTTGCACTTGGATTTAATCTGCCACAAACAATAAGTCAAAAACAGTGAAAAAAATTTAGTTACAGCAGCCAGCAGAGTCTTATTGTTATCCTCATTATACCTCTATTGCTTTAAATTTTGATTCGATAGCCGTAAAAATGTTTGCGGACCTCATACTAACAGTTATTTAGGCTCTATTTCAATATTGTTGTATTGATAAAATACCTTGAAACATATAAAATACCCTTGCTGTTAGATCAATGTAGCGACTTGCCATTTAAAGCTTCATAAATATATATATTTTTTTTATGAAAATCCAAATCAATTAAAATTCAGAATAACGCGTTCAAATGTTTAATCTAACAGTAAAACTAGGCCAATACACCCTTCCTTATGTGCCGACGGGCATATTCCGTACACATACTTACAACAGGTTTGTATTTAGTTTCTACTATTGAACATACACTTGCATGCTTAGCAATCTAGTTTTTGCCAAAATTGCGCCAGTTTCAAAATATACTCAATGTCAGTGGTGACAAGTGGAATGAGTGAATACCTACCGGGCAAATTTGCATGCGAATGGCAAATAAAATGAACGCTCAGAAGCGAGACAGCGAGGCGTACTGGGATGGGGTGGCAAATACAGACAGACGAGCTACCACGTATCAGACGTTTGGGTGGACAACCAGCTGATCGTAACTAATATATCGAAAACACTCTTTGTTTTGCAGTGCCACTTAGCATGTCTATACATAGGTACATACATATAAACCTAGCTTTGATTACTACTGCCATGCAAGCTCTGAAATGCCCTAGCATTTCGATCCTTGAGCAATATTCTATAATTGCGCCTTCAAGTCTCGGCATTTATTAAGGTATGTGACCCGTGACGAGCTGGGCCGATTGAGCCATATATCGTCACCTAAAATGCAAAACAACGTAACATCACTTGTCATAGGTTTACTAGCGAAGGAAAAACGACATAGAAACCACTCATATCGAAACAAAATTTGGGATTTGGGTATTAAATGGATATATTGGTTATCCTTGCCATCTCCCTCTTGCTGAAAGGAAAGTAGTTCTAAAACCCATTTTTGCACCCATTTCGCTATCTTCAAGTACTCCACAGTTTGTATTCTTTGATTGTTTAATGAGCGACTGCCCTCACTTTTTCCCATTCCGTACCAAAAATGCTAAAATTTTATTTATACTTAAATAAGTTTATCAATACATATTTTATATATACTACACTGCTGTACTATTTATCATGCTTTAAATGTGAATAGGAAATTTGGTTAAAAATTTTCAACTAGATTGAAAATTTATGCAGTAAAAATCACCAAGGTGTGTGAGCAAGAGATTACATGGTATGATACTCAGTATAATTATTGTTATGTATGTATATGTGCTCTTATTACATATATGTATGTATATCTGCTCTTAGAAACTCATAATTCATATCGACAATTGCTGTTATTTTGTACAATATACACACCTAGATATACGCGTATATTTAAAATTGTTAATGTCTTGCATAAACGTTGCAAAATTTGGCTACGAACACACCGGTTATACATATTGATATGTCAAAATATACATGATGTTTGTAAGTAAATGAACAGAGGATAGATTTCAATAAAGTGAAAAAAGAATAATTGTACCCAAAAATTATACATAACTTTTAAGAATTCATATAACTGCTAATATTGTATATACCTATATAAGGAGATCCATTAAAGATTTGATTTTTAATAAAATGTTTATTATAAATATAGAAACATGAAAAAAATGAACCTCGACTGCACCGAAGCTATAATAACCTTCACAGCTTCAATTTTTCTTATAAAAAATTGGTGGTATTCAGTCAAATCACATGTTCTAAACAATTTCTGGAGATAGTACCGTTGATTTGGACAGAAATTCATGCTTAATTTCGTGAAGACAGCTCGTGAAATAAAAAAGTTTTCCTTACAATGATATGATTTTGATCATTATTGGCAGTTATATGTATATGCTATAGAAATCCGATAACAGTGGTTCCGAGCAGCTTTTTTGGAAGCAAAAAGGGATGCTACGGACGGACGGACAGAAATAAATCCACACAGCTTGTCACGCTGTACACCTACATATATATATAAATTATATTACAGAGTTGCCGACGTTTCCTTGTAGTTTGGCACAAACATCGTGGCAAACTTAATATGCGCTATTAAAGATAGACTGCAAGGGTAAATTCCGTACTAATTTCAGAATAGATGTGTGAGAGGATAACAACATAACAATTCTCTTAGCGAGCCTCTAACAAAACTTTTGTTTGATACAAAGCTAAAGCGAATAGCCAAACACTCAGGTTCTTTAGAATATCAATTTGGTCAGTTTTAAGTCATCACACTGCTACCATTCACCACTTTCCAACTTCTTTTGTTGAATAGGGTCAGTTGATGCAGTGTTATGCATTTTTTGTCTGCAACACACTTCATATGCTTAGAAATCAAACAACAAATGTCAAACTACCACCTTCAATGACTTTCCAGCTTTTGTTGTTTTTAATTCTTTCAAAGTAAGATAAACAGTTGACACGCTTACAAACACAATGCAATTGACTGCAGTGAGTATTTTAGAAATAATACGTATGAGGAAAAAAGTGGCAGTTTGCTCTCCACACAATCATTAACAATTCAAATATGATAATTACTCACATTTAAATAATATGATGGCATGATAATTTTTCGGGATACGGCAATCAAATGAGCGTGTAAGCATTAACCCTTGTAGTTATAACAGTGCGACTTAATAGTTAACAACACTTGGTGTGCGGTAAAGAGCCTGCATATATCTATATAGAATTAACTGCTGATTTAATAGACAGGTCGAAATCCCGTTCCACAGAACTGCTGTGCATATTTATTTTGTGCTATGCTAACGCGCACGCGCCACAAAGCGCCAGAAAAAATTATGTTAATAATGGAAATAAACGAGCTTCACAAGAAATAATCGCTGCGTGGCAAGGACTTGTTGCATAATTATGCGTACTACTACTTGAAAAGCCACAAAACGCTAAAGCGCTGCTGCTCTTCTGCTCATAGTAAAAAATTCAAGAATGAAAAATGCTGAAAAGCCGCAGCCGCAGTGGCGTTGAACTCCTGCAGCTTTGATTCAATCAAAAGGTCTACTACGACCAGTTGCCAAAGCAGCAGCCGCTACGACTGGAACAAAAAAGAAGCCGACAGTTTAGCAGTAGCAGAGGTGGCGTTGATGAGATGCCGGCGTGTTGATGGCGTTGATAATGAGCAAGATTAGCATTTTGCAATGTTTTTTGGCAACCACTTAAACCACACTTGCAATAACAGCGGCGCATGAACGCCAGTTCCCGCGCCATTAGCATATTATTTCGCATGTTATAGTTGTTGCATGTGCAAGCGCGTTTGGTATCAATGCGGTGGTCATTTCGTTTCGTTTCGTTTCGTTTTTAATTGAGCAGATCAATGGAGAGTATGCGCCCATTGGCGGTTATAAGTGAATATATATTTTTTATTAATATTTTATCTGTTTACCTACTTATCTTCAATCAATTAACCGTTACTTGTAAATCTTC